CTTTTGTCCAATTCATAATATACAAATATCTTTTCCCATTCTGATGGTTGTCTATTTGCTTTGGTTGTTGTCTCCTTAGCTGTACAGAAGCTATTCCATTTAATTAAATCCCATTTGTTTATTTCTATGTTATTGCACTTGCTACTGGCATCTTCTTCATAAAGTCTTTCCCCAGCTTGATACCTTCTAGTGTTTTGCCCACACTTTCTTTGAGAATTTCTATTGTTTAATGCCATAGATTTAGAACTTTTATCCATCTTGAATTAATTTTAGTGGGTGGAGAAAGGTGCAGGTCCAGTTTCAGTCTTTTACATGTGGATATCAAGTCTCCCCATTTGTTGAATAGGTATTTTCCCCCCCCCATGTTTATTCTTGTTTTGTTTATCAAAGATCAGGTGGCTGTAAAATATTAGTCTCATCTCACGGTTTTCTATGCAGTTCCAGATGTCTGTGTTTCAATTTTTGTGCCAATACCATGCTGATTTGATCACTGTGACCTTGTAGTACAGACTTTAGTCTGGTAGGTGGATGCTCTCAACTTTATTACTAAGAATTGCCTTAGCTATACAGGTTTTTTTCTGGTTTCATATAAAATGAAGAATTCTTTTTTCCAAATCTTGAAATCATGATGTTGGTAATTTAATGAGGATTGCATTAACTCTGTAGATTGCTTTGGGAAGTAAAAATATTTCAACAATGTTGATTCTTACCAGTCAAGAGCTGGTATTTTCTTCCATTTGTTAGTATCTTCTGCTATTTCTTTTCTTAGGGTTTCCTAGTTTTGTTCGTAGATGTTCTTCATCTCTTTTGTTAGGTATATTCCTAGATATTTCATTTTCTTTGAAGCTACTGTAAAGGGAATTGTGTCCTTGATTAGCTTCTCATCTTTCCTGTTATTGGCATATATGAGGGCTATGATTTATGGACATGGATTTTATATCCTGAGACATTACTGTATGTTTTTATCACTCCTAGGAGTCTTGTAGTTGAGTCTTTGGGGTTCTCTAAGTGTAAGATCATATTGTCATCAAAGAGAGTTTCTTCCTCTGCTCCCACTTGTATACCCTTTATTATCTTCTCTTGACTGATAGTATTGGCTAGAATTTCCAACCTATGTTGAATAGTAGTGGTAAAAAAGGACAACCTATCATGTTTCAGTTCTGAGCAGGAAAGCTTTCAGTTTTATACCATTCAGTATAATATTAGCTGTGGCTAATAGATAGCTTTGATCAGTTTACAAAATGTGCCACCTATGCCTATATTCTTCAGAGTTTTAATTAGAAAGGGATGTTGAATTTTATTGAATGCTTTTTCAGCATCTATTGAAAGGATCATATAGTCTTTGTTTTTGCTTCTGTTGATATGGTGAATTACATTTATGGACTTGAGTAAGTTAAAACAGCCTTGCATCCCTGGATGAAACCTACTTGATCATGATATGACTTTTTCAATAACAAGCTATAATATATTGGCTAGGATTTTATTGAGATTTTTTGCATCTATTTTCATTAGTGAAATTGGTCTAAAACTCTCCTTTTTAGTTGGGTCTTTTCCTGGTTTTGGTATCAGGGTGATGTTTGCTTCATAGAACGTGTTGGAGAAGATTCCTTACTTCTCAGTTTTTTGGAATAGTTTCTGTAGAATGGGTATAAGATCTTCTTTGAAGATTTGATAGAATCTGGTGGGAAGCCATCTGGACCAGGGCATTTTTTTGTTGGGAGATTTTTTTTTATTATTGTTTCTTTGATCTCAGTGCTTGAAATCGGTCTGTTCAGGAGATATATTTCTTCTTGATTAAGTC